AAACACACTTAACAACGCCATGATTCCTAAGAGGGTACCCGTCGTCTTTGCTCAGTAATCAGTTGCGTCGGGACCTGAAAAATCAGAGAAACGAACGATTAATGCGTGACTCACGGAATCATTGAAGTACAGTGATAAACATGGTTCTCGTTGAAAGAAATGATCCCCATAATACTGGCCCTAGTCAGTAGTCTCTGGATACCGATACCGATCCCTAAACACTGACGATTCTTCCTCTACTTCGACGATCGCTTTATCAACGACTGTGAGAATTCTTTCAGCCCGATGATCGAGTTGAAGATGAATTTTCAGCCGTGAGTAGCTTCTATTTCACAAATTCATTATCAAACAAATCGACAACGCGTGTTTAGTTGTTGTAGCTTGACCGAGCGCTTTTCGAACGAAATTCGAGAATATGGGGATGATCCGAATGAACGCGATTAGAATTCTCTAGCGATCAATTTCTCTTGGTTTCCTTGGGATGTACGAAACAAAGGAAATTGAAATTTTGGAATCTTTAAATATTAACTATTGAGTTCTGAGACTACAGTATTTGAATTTTTGAACTTCAATATTTCAATTGCTTAACTTTAACACGTTCGCTGTCAGCGCTGATTCCGGTGACGGTCTCGATTATATTTCCTTCGATCCAATAAATCTAAACGAGATATTAGAAAAATGAAACTGAAACGAGTCGTCGAGTTCCTAAATACAATGTCAGATAATTTCTAATAAGAAATGAATCCTATAGATGTTCATTTTCGTTATGTAAAATCTAGGATTGCGATCGTCACAGATATGTGACGCGAACGTGTTAAAATATTAACGCTGAACAAATACGATTGTTCGTTTCGTCGGTTCTCCCTTACACCTCTATCGGCAATGAAATGGGAAGGAATGGCAAACGGTAAAAATTTCGCGGAAAAACGCTGGTCCAAGTCACAACCCTCCCGAGGGTCCACTTCCGGCGGCGACGAATGGTACCGTTTGCGAGTCTGAAGCCGATCGAGGCAACGAGCGACGTTAATGTGCAATTTATTCGAAGCGTGGATTAACTTCGGCGAGCCAGCTGTCGATTGATCGATCGTCGTGGCCGTGATATTCGTTCCGTTGAACGGCAGCTTCGTCCTTCCGTTTCAACATTAACCGTTTGAGTCACACGCGCCGCTTTCGCGCTCTTCGGATTTCATGTCGAGAAAACCCAGCGCGTTCGAACGATACGGATCGCTACACTTTTTTGTATATAAGTAATCCAAGTAATACATTTCGTAATTCGTTGTTACCTATTATAAATTAACACATTGCGTACCGGTAACGAGAAATCTCGTTTTTATGCGAAGACGCTTAGCTACGCAACTTCGCTAATTACCGCAGCATTGAAGATATAAAATTTATTAAATCATATAATAATATATAATTTTAGATAATAGGAGATATTAAGATATTAAAATATAAAATTTAACTCGAATTGATTATCTATTTAAAATATATTACGTAACAATATATCTGAGGTTCTCTATGTATAGTGATATAAGTTGACCTCAGTGAGAATTGCCATCCGCACAATTCAGTTTTCCGAAAATTAGCCGGTACGCAATGTGTCAACCCTTTGAACTCTGTAGGCTCCAATATTGCACCAGTTGTAATATTAAATATTTCAATGAATCTTAAAGAAACTGCCCTAAAATTATTCGATTTTCCACGCATCCAAATTTTGTACTAAGAAGGAAAAAAGATCGAAATGTTATAGCATTTCTCAGTTTCGCTAGGAATGCTATACAAATTAGTTACAGTTGCCGATTGATTACAAAACAACCTGGAGTGCTAACGTTTAATATATATATAATAATAATAATATCAATATAGATTAAAACGAGCGCTGTCGCGCAGCTTGGCTTTCCTCGACACGAAATAAAAGAAGCGCCATCGCGCCGATCTTTCCGCGTCCCATTCAGAAAGCGCCATCGCGCTGTTCGACTTTCTTCAAGCGCGTTTCGTTAAAAACCTCTGGCACTCAAACGGTTAAAACGGTGCCGAGCGGTCGTTCCGATTCGAAACGCCGCCGATTTCCTCCGAACGGTCCGCGCGAGCGCATGCACAATTTCACATCGCAATAAATCGCGGACAAACGTGGCCGACGCGCACACCGTGCCCGCTGTTAGCCGTATCGCCAAGATGCATCGCAGCCGATAGTAACGCAAACGCACAATCAAGCATGCACGTGGCGTGTTAACGCGGCCATCTTTGTTAATCGGGCGTGTCACGAGACGGGGCACCGCAAACGCAATGATTCGCCATGCTGAATTCTGCGGCCGTACGGTGATCATCCGTAGACTGCGGAAATTACGTTTTGTAAATTTATAATATCGCACTCGGAAGTTTCTCGCTAGAAATGTTTAACATTTTTTGACGAAGACGATACTCCTTGAAACTAACTCGAAGGAACATCACAAGTAAATTGAGAAACAAAGCTTTATTCCAATATTTCGCGTATCGCATACGAAGTTCAACATTAAATTTTTCTAAGTCCCTACAGAAAAAGAGTAAAATTTTTTATTATTGACTTTAAAATTATTTCAATGCTTAATCCATGCATAAACAAGCTGTCCAAACACGAATGTAACATTGAAAAAAATTACTTTACAGTTTTACAAATCAAGTGGTGACAGAGTCGCCTTCCGAGTGCAAAGGGTTAAAGGTGAAATGCTGTGGGCGTTTTATTTTAGTTGATTTGCGGATTATCCGAACATCTTGTAAAGTGTACAGTTCGTCGCGAATGAGAGTCGCGAACGGTTTCATTGAGTCAGAAGCGAGGGGCTGCATGAAATTGTGAAACCCTCAAACAGGAGATTCCGCAGTCTACGACAGAGATTTTTGTTAGATTTGATTCTACGCCTGAATCGATGAGCAGAATATGTAGAAAATGGAAGTTGAACATTGGTCAGGCTGGAGTACTCTCGAACACAGTCGACAAATACTTGGAACACTGTCTATTTGCTGTAGAAAGTATTAGAGATATTCATGGACGCGGAGTGTTCATGACGAGTGGTACACGTGACCACGATGAACACTCTGCGCAACAGTTACCCCGGTGAGAAAACGAAACGCCGCGTACAAAATGAAAAGAGCACGGAAGCGCATTCTATTTCTAGAATCTCAAGAAACAATTGTCGTCCCCGCCCTGTGAAATCTCAGAAAAAAAAAGAAAAATAAAGAAAAACCAGACGCACCAGTTAATTCTCAAACGGAATTCTCAAAGCGTGGCTACTCGTTCACAAAACATTCCCGGCGGAGAAAGGAACAGTGGATCAATTAAAAAT